CTTACACCGATCTGTTTGATTCGCGTCGGAGGCAAAACGCCGGATGGAGGGACAGTGAGAGAGAAGCGATCGGAGGAGTCTGTTTAGCTTTAATTCGATGTGTAGTTTTATCGTCACTTACACACACGCATACACACACACATACACACACTGCGCGTTGCCGGGCGGATTTTCGTGTGGCCTCTGGACAGCGATTTACGGTTTTTACCGTTAGAAACACGGTCGCTGAAGATTGATCGGTTTTCTATATCGATTCGACCATTGCACGATCGATTTCGAAAACGGATATCGATTCGAAGAAACCGAAGATCCGCTTTGGCAGCCTCGGTGCATTTGAAGATAACGATGCAGCTTGCTTGCGTTGCAATTCGGTAGTTACTATGATTTCATCGCGCGAGGAGAAGAGCTTCTGCTTATTTATTTATTTATTTATTTACTTATTTCTGTAGATATTTATTTATTTATTTATTATTTATTTACTAACCCCTTGCCCTATAATAACCAGCGAGACTCGTGATTTCCATATTGATTTCACAAAAATCGATGTTCCTCGTTGCACACGGATCGATAGACTATCTATTTTCAATATTTCACCTTCAAAGTTAATACGCGCTTACAGCAAATGAAACGTTTCCTCGCATTTCCCGCAAATCATTGGGTACTAAAGTTAGTCTTGCTCGGTCGCGAAGGAAATCGTACGGCAAGGGGTTAACGAAGCACGGAGCTTCGACGAAGGGTACACGAAAGGTGAATGACGGATCGATGGAACGAATACGATTCGGTTTGGAAATTAGTTCACCGCGTGATCGTTAGCTTCAATGTACACACAGAGTCGGTGGATCTGTACTCGAGGCGGTCAGTGAAATCGGCCGAGAATTATAAATCCGCCGACACTTTCCCGGGCGAACACGGAACACGATTTTCGTTTTAGCGAGCGCGTAACGAGTATCGAAGGCTGTTTTCAACGCGTTTACCGCGCCCTCCGCTCCCTGGTAAACGCGACCTATTGTGATAAGTGTTGAATTATTATTGCGTTCCACGCAAAACAGGAGCAACGAAATTGTTGCGAGAGTTTCAGAGATTATCCGCGGAACGGCAGCCTCGGGTTCGGCGATCGGCGAGCCGACCGGTCCGCGCTCGCCGGCCCGGCCGTTCCGCGAGTCTACAACGTTGTCGCGCGAATTGTTATCAACGGACTGCGGATTCATTTGCATTGTTTGTAATATAGGCCAGCGGTTCCCAGCTTACTTCGCCAACAGCTTTGTAAACGATTTTTACCTCTGCCCTTAGGGAATATCGATCGCCTTTCGGAATTTCATTCGAGGAAACGTCCCGCGCACCTTCGAAACCATTCACCGGGGTAGAAACGTTCTCGAAGAGAACCAGGATTTTCGAGGAAACTGTTTTGGGAACTCCTGGTGCGGTCGATCGGTCGAACACGCGCGACGAGAATTTGGAAATCAGAAACTACAGAGACTATTAAAAAGAATGTACGGATTTTTGAAGATCGCTTCGTTTCGATGATCGTTGTACGGCTTGTTCTGTTCTGATCGCATCGCGCACGCTAGACCGATCGATCGCTCGAATTCCCGTTCGATGTATGGATACACGAATAAAATCGCAACACCAAGGAAACTTCAACGGAACGGGAATTTGAGATATTCGCGAGAAGCGCGCTCGTTAGATCTCTCGGACGCCAGCGATTATCGTTCACCTTTTAACTGGTTGATTTTGCAGCGTGGACACTCGCGGAAGTGGAAATACAAGAATTCTTTGGATTATTCGTTAGTCTGTTAACTGGTTGAACGTTCAAGTGCGGAAACTCGCGAGCGCAAAAGTACGGGAATCGTTTATTGAGGGAAATCTGGAACGAAGTACCGAGCGATCGGAATGAAACTCGAACGACGCGTTAATTCGTTGTTTCCGGTTAACGGGTCAACGGATATTCGCATGGACGAGCAACGCGGAACATCAGAGAACACGAGAGATCGTTGTTGGTCGAGGTTCGGTTCGATATTTTCTTGGCGTTGGAGTTTTATCGCGCGCAACGGCACCGGCGTTCGAAAGTTTCACGCGCAGCGACTGTGATACATTCCACGGACAACGTGCGAGAGGAGCACGCCGCGAACGGTGTTCACGTGAACATTCCGCAGTCTGATTATTAAATCTCGACGTTAACCACGATGATTATTGCGAGCCACGATCAGCGAGCGCGATCGTGGCGATCGTTGACCGGCGTATGTTTGATTGTTGGCCGTGACACGGTTAGGGGTAGTGTTGTAAAACGCTCGAGTCCTCGAACCTCGAGGCTTAACTCTCAAAATTCAGCTTCGAACTCGTTGGACATCCAAAACTGAGCGTCGAAGGCATAGAATTCTACAAAGCTTCGAGTCTCCAATGCTTAACGAAAACTCGAGCCACTTGATGCAATACTATCACTGCATTGAAAGTTTCAAAGTTAAAGTTCAATCTTCGGCGCGTCCGAAGTTCATATATTTGCGGTGTTATTATAACAACTGGTGACTCGAATCTTCGGGCACAAAGACTCGAAGATTGAAGGCTTCAGCTTAAGGCTCGAATCGGGGCTGCAGTTTGCAAGACACGAGGCTCGGGACTCATTTTTACAACACTAGTTAGGGGAGAGCCTTGCGTGCGCCATTGATTCGACGTATTTGCCGATCGTTCGAATCGATTTCCCATGATTTGTTTGTTTTATCGTTGATCGACGGAGGGGGCCGAGAACGGATAGCCCGGAGATGGGCGGCGAGGATCAAGAATTCCGAGGGAAGAACGAATCTTCAGGATCTTAACCCGTTCAATTTTAAATTTTAACCCTTCCTGATCGAGAACTTGTTCATCCCTTGCCACACGATGTCTATTTCATTCGCATTTTATAAAGACGATCTACTGGATTTAATAAAATATTTTAACCATGAAGATTGCTACTGAAACAAATTCACGAACGTGCTAAGCATTGATCTCTTGCCATTCGAGTAATTCAATTGTTTCCTCGCAACTTAAGAGAATGAAACGACACTTCGCTTTAATTCGTCTTGTTAAATTTTCCTGAATGTTATCGCAGAGATTCCGTTCCCTTTGAAAAGAATCGCGCCCATCTCCGCCCAACGGAAACACGTTTCAAGAGAACGTAAGTAGGCAGGTTCGGCGTAGGAACAGCTTGGTGTAAGCGACGAAGCGGAAGCCGAGAGTCCGACGGGAGCACCTCGCAGAAGCTTACACTGCCCAGCCGAATTTCGAAGCTGATTCCAGCTGTGATTTCCAGGAACGTCGTCACCGGGGAAACGCGAAACCGTGCGAGAACAATGTTTTCCTTTTTCTTTATGCGAACGACTTAGACTCGCGCGCGTGCGTTCCTGTTTCCGAGAAACCGAAAAGAGCAGAAAACAAACAGAGAAACGAAACGAACAAAGAAACGGAGAACCCGACGACGAACCTGTCGCGAGCGTCGCATCGATTTCGACGGTATTCATCGACGATCTTATACTTTGCGACGCGTTCCTCAGATCCTACGCGTTTCGTCGGAATTTTCACGCGTTCCTCGCCGATAATCATAAACGCATCCCTTTCTCTCATTATAATAATTCGGACGAATTCGCTTCAATAACGATTTACAAGAATCTACGATCGGTTTTCCACTCGAAATACATCCAAACTGAGTCGCGTTCGAGATAATGAAGACAATCGCTCCTTGGACACAGATATTCACGAGATCTGCCAACGATTTCACCCGTTACACCTTAAACTCTATTATTCCTATTATCAAATAACAGAATCTGCATTCGGAGAATTAAAACTGAATCTCGAACTTGTACCGCGGTGCTCTGAATGAAATGAAAGCTTCGAACGGAGCGCGTTCGATGAAATTTGTTGTTTCGGCGACGACGAGTGCACTTTGGAACGGTTTGAACGCGAGAAAGGATGAAATACTCGATCGAAATCGATGCGTAGCGTTCGAGCGAGGTTCCTCGAGGGGAACAATCGACAGAGACGCAGAGAGGAAAGGCTTGGAAAGGATGGAACCGCGCTTCGAACGTTTCCCCGAACCCTTCGGACACCCGGCAGCGAGCCGATCACGATTTCCTCGCAGCGTTTTCCAGCGTTTCCTTCTCGAAACCGCTGTCGTCTATCCACCCGTTCGCGTTCCAAGCCTTTTTCTCGTCCAATCAATCGGATCGATCGCAGAGTGTCGATCCAGTCGCCGGGTGAAGTTGCGGAGACACCATCGAGAGAGCAACGGGCCTTAAACGAGCCGCTCGTTCGCCAAATCGATCAACTCCGCCGAATGGAAGGTAGACAAATATGAAATTAACTGGAATCCCGAGACGTCGAAGGAGAGGAGTCGATCGTTTTGGAGCACGAACGGCCGAGATAAAAAGAAAACTAACAGAAAATCGAAGGAAAAAAAACGAAGAAGGAAAGGGCGTGTCAGATCCGAGAACGTGCTGGACACGTTCAACGAGCGGCGTTTTCTGTTCGTCGATTCGAGAGTCCCACGCGGAAAGATCGCAACCCCCGAGCTCGATTAATCGATTAATTCGCTGAAGTATAATTGACTAATTACTGTACACTCAGTTGATAAAATTCATTCGTTCATTCATTCGGATTTGAGCTGAGTTAACCCCTCGCCTTATGTCGTGTGACACTCGTGAGATTTCGAACAGAACTGAGTAAACTCGAGTGTCGCTCTGTTCTTTTCAGTCGAAATTCGATATTATTCGTGTAAGTCGATCGTTATGGTTTAAAGTAAACGTGGGCATTTGACGAGATCAAAATTCCTGTTCTTTTCTAGTGAATTAAAAGATAGTTCCAACGAGTGCACTTACGGAAGAGATCACAGGGCAACGGGTCAAACTCGACAACTCGATCTTTCCGAACACGCGAAACGATCGCTACGCGATTTCGATGTTTCTTTCCCCTCGCGGCGTCGTTTGTTTCATTGTTTGCATATGTTTTATCGATCGTCGATTCACACAAGCCTCGGACACGATCGGTCGAGCCGCGTTTCGTCGATCAGACCACGCATTCTTACGCGAGCACAAACTTCTATTGATTTAGGAGATTTTGTAACTGTTCATTTACACGTTTATTCTTATCCTACATTCCATTCTCGCTTTATGCAGTATTTGTACCGTGTTTCAATGAAATTGCGTGTGTTCCTATTAGGCAGTAACGTAGATAAGTTCGGTCGCAGGTACGAGCAAGCTCCGATTTCGAAGGTTTAATTGGCTGACGGAGAACAAGCGTAAATTTGAAAGCATTGTTATTTCACTGTTCCGCGCTGCTAATGACACGAACGGATGTTCGGTGTGACGAAACTGGTAACAAGAAAGGATGTTCAATATATCCGAACGCATTTATATTACGTACCAATACGTTCGACGCTTAAAATTCGCGGTCTGGTCGAACGGCACACGAAATCTTACGCGAAAAACAGTGGCAACACGGTTCGAAATAATCGGAATTTTGTAAAAATGACTTTTCAGTTTGATTGAATTGCCGGACAGGTCGGAGGGGATCGTTTCTCGTGTCTCTCGCGACGAAACCGGAAAATCGACCGACACACACCGAGTGGGACTAATTTGTTCGGGGTTTCGCCTGTATTCTCGCCTCAGTCTTTAATGCCTACTTATACATAGATAGGTCGTGCTATATTAAATTGCGACGATTATATACAAAGTATATATACACAAATATATCTATATACATTATACGTAAGGTATATTATTGAAGGAACGACGGCGGCCGGAGTGAAACTGACTCGTTCGAACAACGACGGTTATTAAACGGGGCGAAACGAACGAAGAGAGGGATGAAGAGACGAAAAGAGGGTTGTTGGGGTTAGGGAGTGGGACGTGTCGAAGGGGGCAGAGGTTATTGAGTTGGACGGACAGTTCGTGATTCATTCGAAATCGGTAGACCGCGAGTCTTCGTAGAAATTCGAGTTTTTCCAGATTTTTGCTAAGGAAACCTTTAGATTTTTCATGATACAAATTTCAGATGTTTAATCATAATTTTCGATAATTAACGGAGAACAGTGATTACAATAGGAAATTGTCTTTCCACGGTTACTCGTTGAAACGATGTTTCCCTGAACTTTTCGGTTACGTCCGATTATTAAATTGCTACGCGACCATCGCGAATTATTTACACTAACTTTCCGTTCAACCTAATATATTTCGGTGGATCCAGATCGTGGATCGAGATACTATCGACGAGGCAGCGTGACCAGATTATTATCCAGCTTTGATACAACGAAACGCCGGTGGGGGAACGATCGTCTCGTAGAAACGTTCTTTTTCGAAGCGATCCGCGGGTTCGTCGGTGAGAGTCCTCGTGACCGGAAACAGGCGTATTCTATCGTGTTTCGTGGAGAACGAGGGTCGAGCGACCGGCGATCGAGAAGAGGAATCGCGCGACGAGACGAGTCGTTCCCTCGAATGAAACTTCAACCGCACGTAGCTTTCGCCGCCAAACGTTGTGCGTTCGATCGAAATCACTTTTCCACGTGGCTCTGTACACTTTTACCCGACGATCCGCCGATTTCATTATCCTGGATTTGTAATATAATAAATTAAAAACAATAAAGCAGAAAAACAACCCATATTGGTGAGTGAATGGAAACCAATCCTGTCGAACGATAGACGATAGTAATTTCATCATTTTCCATCGTTGGACACGAGAACATTCATAATTGGCATAGAACACTTCAACGCATCCTTCCTCCATTTCCCTGACCACCAACTGATTCTATCGCCATCATTCTTCCTTCAAACGTGCGTTTAATCTCCCGATGAAGCAAATCAGCGTAAAAGCTACGCGCGAAATTTCTCACTCCAAGGCAAATCGTTACGAATCTGGGATAATGAAATTCATCGATCGCAAGGAGAAGCGTGTAGAGTCGTACGGAGATTGGTATACTACTTAAAGAAACGATATGCGCGTGAAAAGAAAGGATATATCTGTATTTTATTCTTTTTCTTGTCGATTGCAAATGCAACTGTCACGATACGTTTAATGGCAAAGCTGTAGAACCGTACAACGTTCAGAAGCTGCGATTCAAATTTCAACCGAGAACTCGACATTTCGTTCGCGACCGAACCGATTCTTCGATTACCGGTGTCCGAGAAATCGAGGCTGAGTGGTCAACTTGAAAATAAACAGATCAAAGATCATCGGTCGCTCGCTCGATTCGCGAATTTTCGTTTCCGCGCGGCGCGTTTCGATCGGGAAAGCCGGGAACGGCGAGGAAAAGGCGAATCGATCCGGGACTGGAAATTTCAGGGGGAACCGACTTCTTCTTTCGCGAGACGAGCTTTTCTTTTCTCTTTGCCGTGAATCCCTCGGCCGCGCTCCGCGAACGATGCACAACCGATCGCGGGTTCGAATGGCGAACGTGAAACGGGTGGAAAACGACCGAAGAAAAGGGAGCATCACCGAAGAGGACGACCAAGAGCGAAGAGGAGACACGAGAAGAACGAAGACGAAGAGCAACGGGTTTGCATTCGAGAACCAACCGCCATCATCGCGAGCGTACACGTAAGCATTACGTGGCACTACGGTACTTTTGCGCATCCCCTTTCTCGTCCAGATGTTGCGTTTTTACTCTCCGATTGCATCGTAGAGGAAGGATCATTTATTACAAATAATTGCAGATTATTATGGCTATTATATATATATTATATATATTATATATATAAATATATATATATATTATATATTAGAGATTGAAATACTCGTAATAAAGAACACGCCGACGCTTCCTGTGACCCTGGGCTCTTAATTGATTTCGTTGAATCATCCTTCATCGATGTCGACGCGTTTCGTCGTTCGATGCCAGTTTCACCTGTGGATCGCTAGACGGGGATGGATGTTAAGGAGTCGTCATTGTTTAAAACGTTTATATATAATTTATTGTCTGTACACGCGATCAAGAGCTCGGTAAAAGAAGAAAACAAAAAAACACGCAGAAAACCGTAGGGAGAGAATGTGAGAGAGGTAGAGAGAGTATATGTACATTGCTGTGCAGTGCTCAACTAGGCAGCTTGTTAAGTATCCTAGTCAGGTGATCGAGAACCGAAAGGGATTTCCGATTCTTATAAAAAATTACATGTTAATAAATAGGTCCATCGTCTAAGTTATCGTCTTCATCGTCGTAACCCTCTCCGTTGTCGAAGTAATTGTTCACGTAATCCGTTCCTTCGTCCATCTCCTCGTCCTGCTCCTCCTCTTCCTCCTCAACTTGCTCCTCCTCCTCCTTCTCCTCGGCATCCTCCTCCTCTTTCTCCTCTTCCTCCGCATCGCTTCGCTGAGACGTCTCCTTCTTCTCCAGCTCCAGCAGTTTGGTTTCAACGTCTACATTCTTCGATTTCTTTTTACCCTTCGACTGACTCGGCCCCTTGCGTTTCTTTGGTTGAGGCTTTAATTCTGCGGGCATTCTACTCCAGTCGTACCAACTTTCGTAGCTCCTTTTGTCTGTTATTAGATCCTGATACCTGTCCGAGTACCTTTCTATATCTTTTTTAACCACCAATGGCAGAACATTGTTCGGGGAATCCTTCATGTACTCCGCATACTCTCTCTTCAATTCCAATAAGTAACTCATCTCGTTGGTCATAGTCAGAGGCCATGCTTTGTGCTCCAATGGTGGATACTTTGGCGGTGGCTGTAGAACTGGCGGTGGAAGAGCTTCTCCTTTGGAAAACCCCAGCTGGTCTGCGCTAATGGACATAGTGGGCTTGCCCCTACCTCTGCCACGGCTAGCCATTGTGCTTTATTTTATCTCCCGATAATAAAGGCAGATGAATCAACTTGAATGCTTATAATCTGAATGAATAAATGATATTGTTTACAATGATTGATCAATTGTTAATGCAACTATTAATGTTACAAACATATGAACAACAATCATGACAAGTATTACCCGTCATTGCTCTAGGACAAATTGGTTTACCTCAGGCTTCCTGCGCCACGAGTTCTTTATCTTCGTTTTTAATAAGCTCTTCTTCTTTAGCTGCGAATGCTTCCTTATCGTAAATTACTTTAATAACCAAGGAACAGGACGGACATGCGGCGTCTTCCTCGCCAGCGGCCAGCTCTGCTTTCGATATTTGAAACTGATCACCGCAAGGACATGGATAGTAATACACTTCCTCGTCCTCGTCGTATTCGAAATCTTCGATTTCCACTTCGTCGTGATACACGGTCATAATTCCAAATTCACAAGCACACTTTTCTTTCGTGCCGAAAGGTTATTATAGGTTAGGAAAGCATGGTCTTCCATTCGTATTGAACACACGTTACTGATACGCGCGTAGCCTTTCATTGGTGAAGCCACCTATGAATGAATCTTCGAACCAGAAGATTCACACTTTGCTGTCTAACAGTTCAACCATTTCACTATGAATGGCGCCACGGTCACTTTACGTGAACACCCACATTAGCAACATTTGTCTACCAGTTTCAGAATTTTGCCACGGATGGTGCTACCAGTCAAAAGCGATGTTTGGAAGCAGATAATTCTTACCATTTATGCTATCCACAGAACGGCATGAATTATTATTATAGCGAAAAGATTGTATACTATACTCAAATGAAAAAAGAAATTTCCTACAGCTGATCGGTGTATTGTTTATTAAACTTAAGGCTAATTTAAAAGAGACTCCTATTTTAAACTATATATGGTGGTTGCTGCGAACGAGACTCTGAGAGGTGGATGGAAACTGAATTCCATTAAAGCTTTAATCTTATCGAAAGTAAATTGTTAGGAAGAACTTTGTACTAGATGCATTAAATGCAATTTTTGCACAGCTTTCGTGTCCACAGTAAGATAAAGCCATATCTACGCTTGCCGCAGTAGATCCGTTTAGCGAGAGAGGACGCCCGATCCTCCTCAATTCGGAACGTTCAACCCCCGAACACCTTTCAACCCTTTGCACTCGAGAGTTTCTTACTAGAAAAGTTCATCTTCCGATGAGATAGACGATATTCCTCGAAACCAATGAGGAAACATACGGAAATTAAGAAACAAAGGTATTTTATCTGAATATTTCGATGCGTTGTGTAAAGCTTAATATTATAAACACTTTATAAATATGATGAATGAAAGTCACGTTTCGAGTGCAAAGGGTTCAACGAACATCTCTTAAACTTCACATGTAAACTTTAACGAGAATCATTCTTCCCACACTCTAACGAAACGTTTAATCTTAATTGCACTTTTTAAAATGATCGCGACGATCTTTCAATTTCCGTCGTCCGGATACTTATGCAAATGAGAAATTATTATACTTTTATTTACGGTCTTCCCGCTATAAAGCTGGGTTTCATCTATTCGCCGTATTTATTATTTTCGTTATGGGCGGAGCACGGCGGGAGACAGAGGAAGAGAGAGGGACCAGATCCGAAAACGCAGTGAAATATATTTCCCGCTCTTCGATCGCCGCCAGACCGTGAGAAAATATTTTATGAGCATTAAACTGTAGGAAGTGCCGGGTATCGCGGGGTGGGTTGTTTCCGGGCTCGGTCGCGAATTCCGAACTTTTCGCCGGGGACACACGGTATTTCGTGAATTACGACGCGCCGGAATTCATTCCCCGGCCGACTAATTATCACGCTTAATCCGCTACGATTCTTCGACCAATACGTAGTCGCGGAACACCGTAAAGATTACTTAAGGGAGCATTACCGCGCGGTGAACGCATGCACTCGCGAGCACCGGCAATTTTATCGTTCTTCCAGCCGTCGAATTTAACGATAAGACTGCTTTCTCTGTCAACTTAGCGTTACAGCCAGTTCGCCGCGCGATTCCCCGGGTTTACGGGAAACGTTCTTGCGAATAGGTAACTTGTTCCTCGAAATATTCACCGATTAACGGGGAATACCGTTAAACTTAATCCTCGGATACAAAAGTTTCACCATGGTTCATTCAATTGTCGATCTAACTTGGCGTCCATACTTAACACTAAATGCACGTTCGAAATAGAACAATTAACCTATAGTTTTCTGTGCTTAAAAATAAATGGAAATATATAATCTTTTTTTCATTATCCACAAGTTTTGTGCATTGCTTCTGCATTAGATCAACGATCACCTATATTCCTTTCGTAAAGGATATGATCGGTAGCTAAAATGCTGGCAGTGTTAAAGGTTACAGTTGGTACAACGAATTGGAATTATAAGATTGGAAGACGATGCCGATGTATCTTGGTCGAGCGATGCAAACGTGTGTGTCCCTAATTTCATTTCGAAATTAACTAAGAAACTCGGCGGTGTCTTTGTAATCACTTCGGCTCGGCCGGGCTGGTTTTAGATAATTATAGCGGCCTGGTTATAAGCTTAGGGCTTAAGCCTCGCTTACGACTGTAAGTCCCGCTTCAACTTCCGGCTGCCGGGGAACATACGTAGCCGCGTTTCCTTGAGATTAGATCCGATTAGAAGTTACGCTAGTTGCAGAAAACCGGCGAAACACCGTAAGCACCATCAACAATCCAATCGGTGAACGTTTACCGGGTATTACGAAAATTCCGAAACATTCGGCGCGAGTCGCAGGCACGGAGAAAAACGACGAATTAGTGGAATCTCTTTTTACGTTAAAAAATCCCAACAACGTTCACTTGTCGTTGCGCGGGAATCGGGGATTTTAATGAAATTTTATACAGATCCGGATCACTGAGAAATATTTAACGCATACCTTTTTTCATCGAAAATTCGCGTCGGAAAAGCTGCGAAAAGGTTTGCATTCTCGACATAATCAGTATGAAAGCAACGGAAATCAATTACTCGTCGAATTATTTGTCCTTTACTGCACGTCAAAGTACCTTCTGCAGCTTTTGCCCTGCGAATTCGAATTTTTCGTATATTTCTCGACGTTCGATTTGCATTTTCCCGTAGCACGTTCCTTTGTGGAATGATTTTTAACAGAACTCGGGTTGAGAAATTTGAACAGACCACCAGGAGATATTTATTTTTTGAGCGTGTTTCTATTGCTGGCGGAGTACGCGGGATCGGGATCGCGGGAATTCCGCGAGCGAGCCTCTGCGGCGAGCTTTTGAACGAACCTGCCTCGGCTGGCTTTAAAGAGCAGCTAATTATGCCAGTGTTCTCCGGCAATGAAATTTTTGCTATTGAACCTACATCGCTGTACAGGCCCGCAGCAATAATTAAGGCGCACGTCTGTCTACGTATCCCGCGATTCCTCCTATTGATCTCGCTTTGGCCTCCATGTTAATTACGAGCTTAGCCAGACCCTCCGAACAAGATTTCCATGGTGATTAACCGTGATTCCGCACGAAGTCGAATGTAATATCGGTCGGAGCTGATTTGATCCGAGTTTCTAGTCGAAAGTCCGTGATACTTACAATCGCTATTAATCTCAAGAGCGAAATGATCTCTAAATAATCTCAAAACATGGGTCACAATTCGTCTATACGTATGCTGTCTCTTGCACGTCAAAAACTTTGAGCTATACCCAGATTACATCAAAGAAAATGATTTATAACGCGATAAAGATTGTAGAGGCTTCTAAGACAAATTAATTAGTTCTCTAACATGAATTCTAAAGCACAGACACTTCGATGGCTGTAATATTACACGTCATTTACTAGTTCCATCGTAGATGAAGCATTTAATTCCACAAAATCAAGTTGCACAAGAACATCTCTATTCAATTGGATCAAATCAAATGCCCTTGATTCAAAAGTATACTATAAAACACACATTGAAAACGACTTAGATTAGCCGATCTAAATGCACGCCTCACGGAACTAGATTCCGTTTTGCCAGACGCAGAATATTTCCCCGAAACAGCGATAACATCGACGGATCGCGGCAGTGAATTATCGGCGAAGATTGATCCCCGTGATACGCGTGGCGCGTCCCAATTAATAATTAGTGGCCGGCCAGAAAATTATTCGCTATTACGGTAATAGGAATTAAATCATCGAGCGGCGCGTTATCGCCGCGGATTTCCCGCAAAGCGGGTCTAAGCTTTTGTCAATTTGCATGCGACACGACCGGTGAATAACAGGCGACAGGGAAGAACGAACCAGCAGATAACGGCAATTATATTCGATCCGTCTATTAACTCGTCTCGTGTTTTCGCGACAGGTGATCGGAAAGCTTGCACGAGGCGAAACAAACGGAAATGCTGTTTCGCAGCTCTATTTCTTCACCGACAAAGCTTCCCTTCGCCAGTCTCGACGCGAGCATCGATTCTTCTAACACTGTTCATTCTATCGCTTCTAGAGAAATTGATGTTCGTTCATTCAGATCTCGGACAATAGAGGTTTAACGCTAAAACTAGAGAATCGGTTGAAATCACAGATTCCTGATTACCTCTTCCCATGAGAGAATTCCATGATGGAAATTGGAGGCATACAACCAACGTCAATGAAAGAAATCGTTAATTCAGGTAGAAGTGTTTTCGAGTTGCGTCGGTAAATGCTGCAGCACATCTATCGTGCCTCTATCGAATGATTATTACTATTGGAAACCTTATTTTTCATGTTTCCCTGAAGAATAGTCAGCCATTGGTACCAGGTCAATTACCGATGCATTTACTTCAGTGTTTCTAAACGTCGATACGAGTGGAATTGGCTCGTTCCGTAAATCTAGCGTTAAACGCTTCGTACCGCGGAGATATCCTCGTTCCCCGGATTCCTTCGATTCTGTTCGCGATCGGAAGCTGTTCGCCGCCACGGAGGCTCACCGGGGGCAAAATGAAACGGAAAATCGTCGGTGTACGCGCGTCTGTCGCGTCTGAAACGAACACGACCGGTGCGGCGGAGAAACTCAACGTTTCCGCGCGTTAGTCGCGCGATTCGTTCTTTCCAGCGAGCTTTTCCACTGATCACTTTTATCCACGCTCGACGGAGACGCGCAATCGAAGACGCGAATCCTGTCCGCTGCGAAAGGGAATAGAATTCTCTGGCATCGGGGACGCGTTCGTCTGTTTTCGATGATTTCCATGGCGATCGACGAACGCGGACTAATAACGCGCGTGCTCTCTGTTTGCGTGCACGCTGCGATCGCGAAGGATTTGTCGTTTCGTTTTACTCTTCGCGTCACTGTTGATCCTCGATGTAACAAAGCTACGCCGATGAATA